TATGAGTAAAATTACTGAAGAGCAAAAGGAAATGTTAAATATACCAATAACCACAACAGAATTTGAAGTTGCATTGAGAAAACAAAACAACAATAAATCACCAGGTCCAAATGGGCTCCCTGTTGAGCTATATAAAAATGCACAAGAGATATTGGAAGGGATAATGCTGGAGATATTTAATGAGGCCCTTGAGGAGGCGAAGATACCAGTAATTTGGACAGAAACAATCATTACACTTATTCCAAAAGAGGATACAGATTAGCAGCAAATTCAAAACTATAGACCAATTTCATTATTAAATACAGATTATAAAATATTCACATCAATAGTAGCAGAGAGAATTAAATTTTTTTTGAATAAATATATCCATTCAGATCAAAACGGATATCTAACAGGACGACAGATAAAAAACAATATGAGGATCATAATGAACACTCTGAAATTCTACGAAGTACATCCTGAAAAGCAAGTTACACTGGTTTTCCTTGATGCCCAAAAAGCATTTGATAATTTAAATTGGAAATTTATTACAACGCAATTGAAACTTATGGAACTTGGGACAAAATTTGAAAGAATGGTGGAGAAAATTTATATTAAACAAACAGCTAGGGTAATTATGAATGATGATATTACTGAAAAATTTGCTATAATTAAAGGAGTAAGACAAGGGTACCCACTCTCTCCTCTTCTATTTATTCCAACATTAGAAACACTTTTGATAAAAATTAGAGAAGATCAAGAAATAAAGGGTTTAAAAATCAAAAAAGAAGAATATAAGGTCCAAGCATTTGCTGATGATTTGGTATTTATATTGGAAGACCCATTAGAAACTGGACCCAAATTGATTCAAAAAGTAGAAGAATTTGGTGAGGTAGTGGGACTTAAGATATATAAAAATAAATCTAAATTAATAAACAAAAACCTTACAAAGAGACAAGAAATTGAACTGGAAGGGAAAATAAAAATACAAATAATGAAGAAAATAAAATATTTAGGAATTTGGCTTAAAGCTAAGTGCTCCTCAATTAAGGAGGATAATTATGATAAAATATTACAGCAAATAAAAAAAGATCTAGAAAATTGGAAAAATTTACAGATTTCATTCTTAGGGAAGATTGCCACAATCAAAATGAATATATTGCCGAAAATATTATTTTTGTTTCAAGTTATTCCAATAAAATTAGGAAAAACATTTTTCGAAGCCTTAAACAAATTAATTACCAAATTCATATGGCAGGGGAAAAAAACTCAGGATTAAATTAAAACTTTTACAAGATACGAAAGAGAAAGGGGGATTGGCACTTCCTGAGTGGGAAATATATTATCATGCACCTATCTTAACTTGCTTAAAAGACTGGATGGAATTAAGGAACAAAAGGGTTTTAACTATAGAGGGACATGACCTGTCAGAAGGATGGCATGCATTTCTCTGGGATGAGAAACATAAAACACATAGCTATTTTCAAAGGCATATATTAAGGAATGCACTTTTACAGATTTGGCAAAAAATAAAAAAACAGCATTATACAAAAATTCCAATGTAGCTATCCACAATGGAAGCATTGAAACATCCAAATTTAAGCAATATAAAAAAGGTAATTAGATATAATGATTTGTTAAATGAACAGGGAAATGTGAAAACAAAACAAGAATTAGAACAAGATTTAGGCAGAGAGATTGATTGGTGGACATGCGCACAAATTCAGTCTAAATATAGAGGATATAAAACTATATGAAATACAAACGGATCAGCAAGAATTGGACAAAATTATACAGGAAACAGAGGAAAAATTCATTAGTAAAATATATAAATACCTATTGAGATATAAGATGGAAGATGAAATTGTCAAGGAAACAGTGATTAAATGGGCAAAATTTTTTAGATATAATATAGAATTGGAGAGATGGGAAAAAATGTGGCAAACAAATATAAAATTGACTATGTCTGCAGCATTCAAGGAAAACAGTTTAAGATGTTTTACAGATGGCATCTCCCTCCAGCAAGGCTTGTCAAGATGTTTCCAAATAGTTCACCAACATGTTGGAAGTATAAAAGATTTATGGAACGTATTACCATCTATGGTGGACATGCCCTTTTGCAAAAAAGTACTGGGCCAAAATCAGAAAATGGTTGGAAGAAATAATTAACCAACCCATAGACTGGAAACCGGAGACATTTCTGTTGGGAATGTTTACAAGGAAATATATTAAAGAAATACAATATCTAATTTTACATTTGAATTTACAATTTACATTTACAATGGAATATTGCCATTCAATTGGAGGAAGGGGGAGATTTGGATTCGATTTACTAGCATTGCCTGTGTCAACAGATATTTTACAACCTATATCATGGCGCCAAAGAGCCCTGAGATCCTCTTTACCTGGAGGAATTTTTATGATAGCCATGTGGGTTGTTTCACTTTAAAGGATAACAGTTGTGAATGCATGGTTGTTCGGGTTCTCAGGGAAACTAGTAAAGAAAACATCTTCACACTTGTGTATTGGCTAAAATCTGCATTCTGACTTAAAGGGAGGTGTCTCTACTGCTTTAATCCTACTTGTTTTGCCTAAGGGTATTCAGATATTGCTTTAACCTGGTGGCTATTACTTCTGTTTAATAAAAGGTATCTTTTGAACAACCACGTTTCAAGAGTTTTTACTTTCTTAAATTGGAAGGAGAGGCAATCCTTACATAACGGCTGCAAGAATATCATATACACAGAACTGGAAAAATGATAAGACACCAACTGAAGAAGAACTGATAAGGAAAATTCTGGACTGCTGAGATGGATAAATTAGCAAAGGAGATAAAAGAAAAAGAAGATAGAGATTACTGCAGTATGGAACAAATGGTATAATTGGCTGGAGATTAGAAATAATAAATAAGAACGAATGAGGAAAGGTCACAAACGGATAAATGCTTGTAAAATAATTGATAGTTATAGTATTATATGTGAAGGAATATATATAGAAATATGGGATAATGGGACAATAAGGAAAATATATTTAAAGAAGAGTAAGGGGAAAATAAAATAAGAGAAGACTACTGCTGAAAAATTGTTGTAAAAAAGGAATATATGTTTTGTGTTTGTGTATGTCACGTCCTATAGTTTAAAAAAGAAAAGCCGCACGAGCTCTGAATAAGAATTTTTATCAAGAGATACAGTGTGTTTATTTTGCTGCATATTCTTTTCAAGAAACATTAATTAGTGATAAAGCAAAATTACATTTCCAATTTAGTTGAAGTGAATACTCCCTTCCACTTTTTTTGAATATATGTTTTATTGGTGCATTTTTTTCATTAAAAACATAAAAAATTCCATGTCTATCTGAACAGCGTGTTGTCTGAGCATAATTAATCTTAAGTAAAGGTACAACAATAACCATAATCATACTTAATCTTAATAAACATATCAATATTAATCATAAAATAATAAAACAATTAGTTTATCCATCTTTTTTCTTTTTCAATAAGGTTATAAGGCTTGAGAAGCTATTTAGAAACATTTATTACTTTTAAGTGGCAGACTTTTACTAATGGCATATTATATATTATTTTTAATAGCGTGTGTATTTATGCATATTAATTTTATTGGCAAAAAAATCACAAACTGAATAAATTCCAAGCTATTACTTAAAAATGTTTTTATAAAACTGAAGCATCACATTTTTACTTTTAAATATTCAGCTTCCGATAAATGATCTAAAAACCTGAATGAACAGACTTCAGAGTAGATTCTAATTGTCACAGCCAATGTTCAAACTCATATTGAATATAAAAGAAAATTGGCTGAGGAAATAAATTTGATTAAAAACAATGTTGCCTGCAATACCTAATGTTTCTTGCAAACTATGCCTTTTCTCACTTTTTTCTACACTTGTAAGGAATCAATAGAATATTTGTAGCTCAAGGTTGAACTGTATAGTTCTTGATGTTCTGTTTTCTTGCAAATGTTTCATTACCAACTAGGTAACATTATCAGTGCTAGTGATGCTATCTAGTTTGGTAATGAAATGTCTGCAAGAAAACAACCATGCTTAGAGACTAACCAAAGATTCTTCTTGTAAGGAAAAAATAAATTGAAATAGGTGTATAGAATTGCTACCTTAAACACAATGCCAACTCGATAACCTTGGGCTAGTCACTCTCTTAGCCCTAAGAAGGAGACAATCAGGGGTGGGTTCTAATTTTTTTTACTACCGGTTCTGTGGGAGTGGCTTATTTTGTGGGCGTGGCTTGATGGTCATGTGACAATTATTTAGGATTTAGCAGAGGTACTGGTCTACCAGACTTTTAACTGCTTGCAGAGCTGTACCAATCTACGCATTTATTTTTGCAGGCACTGATCTACCCATTTATTTTTGCAGGTACCAGTCTACTCATTTGTTTTCTTTTAACACTGATCAGCTGTAGGGCGGCCCTTTGAAGCCCGGCGGCAAGAGTTTAAACAGTTTTTTTTCCCTCTAGCCATCAGCTGGGACTCAGGAGGCAGCAATAGATTGGGGGTGGGGCCAAATAAAAGGTAAGAATAACATGGTGGGTGGGGGGGGCGGGGGCCAGAACTGGTTCAGTGACGTCATATCATCACCGCTACCGGCTCGGCGGAACTGGGAAGAACCGGGAGGAACCCACCACTGGAGGCAATGGCAAACTACTTTCAAAATCTTGCCAAGAAAACTACAGGAACTTGTTTAAGCAGTCTCCAGGAGTCAAGATTGATTAGAAGCCCCACACGCCCAATAAGAGGAACTCTGGTTTAAAACATCAATGTACTTCTCTGAAATATATGTGGAGTTCTCTGTAAGGAAGCATTTAAGTTACAGTTCCTTATCCTCTTATTAAACTTCCACAATCCTTTTGGGATGCTACAGCTGTCAAATTCAATTTAAATTTGAAAACCTACCATGTACTACAATCCTACTTGTTTTATTGTTGTTATTATTGGCAAGAGAGATATCTCATATAAAATAAGACATTCTATATTAATATTTGGTACCTGATAAGACGACATGACTGGGTACTGGACAATCATGCTTTGCATCTGATTTCCCTGTTGGTTATTTATTAGATTTTGGTTTGGGGGAGAGTGTTGCATTCCTACGAGTCCATGGAATCCTTGCTGTTGATTGGTCAAGACAGACTGATAACCTGAAAGAAAGAAGGTAACTTTTCAGCCAAATGAATTTAGAAATGCTTTCATCTCTCTAGCCCAAGTTCTACCATTGCTGTAGGATTAGAAAGTAATGTAATTAGTCAAAGAATGCTGATTGTACTTCACAGTTCCCCTCTGTTATTAAAAATATAAGGAATTAGCAGATTATAAACTGGTAGAACCTAAGTATTGCTATCTAAACCAATACAATGAAGCCCTGTTTGGTATAGTTACTTCCCAAAAACACTACCTAGATCTGTGATGGCGAATTTATGGCACGCATGCCAGAGATGGCACGCAGAGCCCTCTCAATGGGCACACAGCTGCTCTTCTGAGTTTTGTCACATGCATGTGCGCCGGCCAGCTGGTTCATCGCGCATGCACACCGACCAGCTACTCTCTTCTGGGTTCCGGCCACATGCTGGTCTTCTTGCAAAGACCAGCTGGCCGGTGTTCATGCACGTGCAGGAACCCAGAAAAGAGCAGCTAGCTGATGTGCATGCATGACGGACCAGCTGGCCGGCGCACGTGTGCATGATGGACCCGGAACAGCAGTTGGCTGCTGAGCACATGCACACCAGCCAGCTGCTTTCTTCTGGGTTCCAATGCTCCGGTGCATGCGTGTGCGTGTGCTTCAGTTTCAGCACTCAGTGCTGAAAAAGTTAACCATCACTGGCCTAAATCCAACCTCTCCCCCAATAATTGCTGATTTCTATCCTATTCTGTAGACAGAATATGTTATTCCTTATTTCAGCAAAGGTGTTTATGAATAATGAAAAACAAAATTGGGGAGACAAGCTGAAGTGGTGACATTTCTGTTCTTTATGCAGATCTTTTGATTGACTGTCAATCAGGATAAGGCTATTTGTGTGGAGAGACAATGATGGCACAATATCAGAGATACATTTTTAATATAAATCATGCAGTTCCTGGGCCAGATATGCTGTGCTGCATAAATCCCGGTCTTCAGAAGAAAGTTATTAGTTCTCAGTGGAATGACATTTGCAATGATGGTGTTTGCTTTCTATTTCTTTGCACAATTGAAAGGATACCTAGCTAATAATCGCTGAATCATGAAGTATGTTAAATAATAAACGACTCATGAATAGAAATTAAGGAGTGATGACACTTATATTTTCACATTGAAATAAGTCATCTTGTAGCTTTTACACAAAGAATCTCTGCTCTCCTGAATTTTAAAAAATATAACATTAAGTAGAAGTGATACATGTTCCAAGAAAGCAATGTAAATAAGAAGCATGCCCAATATGAATGCCCTTCAGCATTTTTTGTTTTGGCTTACAGAATATGATAACTGGAATGTTAGGAGATTATCTTGCCTGGAAAGTATTCTGACATTAAACAATATCATAGCACTGCTTTGTTTTTTGGCTTCAAAATGTATTGGGATTACAATTTCCAAAATTCCCAGTCACCATAGCCATAAATTATTATACTCCAAAACATTTGGAGAGAATTAGATTGTGAAAAATTGCTATATACATGATATCTGAAGAATCTTAATTTATAGAACTTAAGCAACTGTGATTTTCAGACCCACAGTACTGACTTGCATATGGTAAGTAAAAATTTGTTCTAAAACTGATCCAATATGTTTTGTGTTGTAGCGCGGGAATAACGAGAGGCACAAGCAGGCTAGTGACAACAGCTTTTTAATTCAGGGTGAGACTTCAGCAAAGGAACACAGGCAACAGCCCTCTTTATATACTTTTCAGGGGCAACCGTTAACCAATCACACTTCACAGGGCATTTGAATTTCCCGCACAAAATAGATACATACATAACACCCCTCCACTCCCAGAAGGCACTTATCTTATCTATTTACATATTTACATACGAAATCACACAGGTGACCAGGGCGTGTCTTTACTCTGGTTGACCTGCGCAGTTCAGTTGCTGGAGAGGCGTCGAGCCGGTCGGAGGGGCCTCCCGTCTCTCCTGGCTCCGCCAATGGAACCTCCTGGATTTCTCTGGAGGCGTGGTTATCCCCGGCTGGGAGTGTCGACTCACTGGGGCGGCGCTGGAACTCTGGCTTGCCAGATAAGTATTCCGGCTTACTCGGGCTTGAGTAGCTGTGTCAGGAAAACTTTGGAAGTTAGGCTTTTCTGTGTTGGAGTTCTCTTGTTGCAAGCGTCTATGTAATTGGTCTATGTGTCTTCTCCAAATTTTACCATACCCTATATCTACGGTCGTGAGTTACAAAGAGTTTTCTGAGGACTTTAATTACGGCCTCAGAAGTTGTCGAGGGCATCAAAGCAATTTCTAGCCATTTAGAAAAAGCGTTTACAATAATAAGGAAATTCTGGCCGTGGAACGGGCCTGCGAAATCAATGTGAATTCTCCCCCACGGTCCCTTCGGTTTTTCCCATTCCCTAACGGGACCTATAGGGGGATCTGGGCGGGACTCCTGGCAGGGCCTGCAGTTCCCCACCCACTCAGTGACATCTTGGTCGAGATGCGGCCACCACACATAGCTTCGAACTAAACCTTTCATACGAACAATACTAGGGTATCCCTCGTGCAGTAGTTCCAAAACTCTATGCCTTAACCGAGAAGGAATGACCACCCTGTCTCCCCACAACAAACAACCCCCCAACATTGACAGTTCATTTTTTTGTTGAAATACAATTGAAAGTCCCCACTGTCCACCTTAGTGGGCCGCATCACCCAACCCATTACGCTGCGCAACACAGAGTCCCTGGCAGAGGCCTTCGCCACTTCGCTCGAAGAAATGGGGCCCAGGGATACAGCGTCAATGAGCAAGACAGGGGCCTCCGGAGTCGGGTTTTCTAACAATTCGGGCAAGGGGCATCGGCTGAGAGCGTCAGGATGGCCCAGGGTTCGGCCCAGTCGGTGGAGCAGTCTGTAGGAATAGGCAGCCAGGAAGATGGACCATCTGGTCATCCGGGGGGAGAGGGCAGCCGGGGTCGGTTTGTCGCCAGCCAAAAGTCCCAAAAGAGGCTGATGGTCCGTAACAAGTTCAAAGGTCCGACCAAACAAATACTCGTGAAATTTTTTGACCATTTTAACAGCCGTTAAAGCCTCCCTGTCCAGCTGGCTGTAATTTCTTTCAGCACTAGATAAAGTGTGAGAGTAATAGGCAATGGGCGCCTCTAACCCATTCGGCAGTCTATGGCTCAGCACAGCGCCCACGCCAAAAGGGGAAGCGTCACAAACAAGTACTAGAGGTAGTTCTGAGTTGTATTGGATGAGGAAACTGTCTTCGGATAGAAGTTTTTTAACTGCTCTAAATGCAGCCGCTTCTGATTTGCCCCATACCCAGGGCACGTTTTTTCCAAGGAGCCTGTGCAGTGGCTCCGCAATGGTGGCCTTGTCTTTTAGAAACATCGTATAGAAGTTAAGTAGGCCCAAGAAAGCCTGCAATTCGGGCTTCAATTTGGGGGTGGGCGCATTCTGAATGGCCCTGACTTTGCTTTCCGTTGGGTGAATGCCTGTGCCATCGATTCTGTAACCCAAAAATTCCATGGAGGGGACCGCTATTTTGCATTTGGACTTCTTAAGTTTCAGCCCCGCTTCTCTGAATGTGGTTAGGACTTGTCTAACCCTATTCCCAAGCTGTGTTTCGTCCTGGCCACTAATTAAGACGTCGTCGAAATACAGGACGACTCCAGGGAGGCCTTGTAGAAGGCGCTCCATGGTACTCTGAAAGAGCCCTAGGGCGATGCTAACCCCGAACTGTAGTCTAGTGCATTTAAAGGCACGTCTGTGAGTTACTATGGGCTGCGCTTCTGCCGTAGCGTCATCTACTGGCAGCTGCTGGTACGCCTGTGCAAGGTCTAATTTTGCAAATAGCTTGCCAGACCCCAGGGAGTGTAGTAGATGGTGGACGATCGGAACGGGATAGGCGCTCTGCTGCAACGCTTTATTGATCGTACATTTATAGTCAGCGCAGATTTTGATTGATCCGTCCGATTTAACTGGCGTGACTATTGGGGTTTCCCACTTGGCGTGATCTACGGGAACCAATACTCTTGGTCTGATTAGTTTGTCGAGCTCCGCGTCAATTTTGGGCTTTAAAGCGAATGGAACCTGTCTCGCTTTTAGTCTGATTTGGGCCACGTTGGAGTCTAAATTAAAGGAGATAGGGGTCCCCACGTACTTGCCTAGAGTCTTCTCAAAAACGTCCTGAAACTCATGAAGGAGATTTTCTTTGAGTGATGGCCCGCCGATGCTGTGGACTCCCGTGAAGCCCATGCCGAGGACTTGGAACCATGCCATGCCCAGGAGACTTGGTAGCGGCTTGCTGACAATGGTCAGGGGCAGTTCTTTCTGGAACTCACCGTAGGTGACCCGGAACGTGCCCACGCCTTCCACAGGAACTCGAGGAGGCGAACTCTTTGTCGTAACAGCTGGGTTTTCTGGATCTTAGGCAGGAGTGCTTTGAGAGTAGTCCAGGACATGATAGACAGGGTAGACCCGGTGTCGATTTCCATTTCGCATGGTCTGCCTTCAATTTCTACTTTTATGTAGACTTTCTCATCGTCGGTCGTGCTAGCTTGGCCGATTCTCGTGCTGTAGGTCTCCCACTTTTGAATCTCGCGCCGTTTTCTCACGCAAGATTGGCTTCAATCTGGCTGTTTTGAATGAGCCAGTTCTGGTTGGTCGCGGTAGTCACGTGGCTTGCGACTACGCGGAAATTGAGCTCTACAAACTCGTGCTAGGTGGCCTTTCTTTTCACAACGCCTGCAAATGGCGTCTCGGTATTTGCAGGATTGTCTCTCGTGATCCCCGCCACAGCTAGGACAGTTCTCATGGCGGTGGCTTTGCTTGCTTTTTTTCTTTTCCGTGTGGAAGACGTCTTCGTCTGACTCTTCCTCCGTGCTGGTTCGCGCCTCCTCTCTGTGGACGGGGGCTGTTTTAGGGCCGTCTTTGCTTGGCAGTGGCCATTGTAGCACTTCAGAAACCTTCGTGGACACTTCGTGTGCTCTGGCTTCGTCGAGCACGCCGGCTAATG